TATTCCTTAGGAAAACCTCCAAGCAAAGAGGAAATCAAGAATTTCATGGACGGCTGGCCTTAATATTTGAAGTGTTTAGGAAGAATGAATTAATCTCACTTATAAGTCACTGGGGGAGTGGAGTATTACACACTAATAGGCAGTATTACTAGACAGAGTGTTACACTGTCTAATAAACTTGACCTTCTTTCTACACCCATGTCAAGTTCCTAGAGAAATTAGTCTGATACATCTGCCTTATGATCTGCTAACTTGTCATGTATCAGGCAAGTTTCCACTGCTTCTCTGTGGTGAAGGACAGAGGTGTGCAGGGTCAGGTGAAGTAGCAGGATCTTACTTGCTGATTGCATATCTCCTCACCTAGGACCCTCTGCTCTATACATACATCTCCAGCCTCCCTCGTTCGGCATTGCAGAAGGCGCCCAGATTTCATGCTTGTCATCTCTCATTATGTACCCGTCCTTTCATTCCCCCATCTCCTAAATAGTCCTTTTTCCCCCTTTTTGTTTGTGTTTGGACCACAGTTACGTGAGTCATTATATCTCTCTTGAACCCAGAGACAAATTGGGATGAATACATAGGAAAAAAGTGCATGGAATTGAAAATATGACTTGGATTGCCGGTTATTGTGACGCAAGACTGTAGCTTCCACGTGCAGCTGGTTTTGGCTTCCTCATAGTGCCCGAGTTGATCTTCGGGTGACCCTCAAGAGAGTTTAGGTTTGAAATTTATCCACAGTGGCTGTTTCACACCTGTGAGATCTCATAGACAGAAAGGGAGAGATCTCAGATACATGAGGAGACTTTTGCTTGATGAAAAAAGAATGGGTCCCTTGGACTTCACAGTCACTGGGTTGGGACAGTGGAGGTGACTTTGGGGTTAGCATGGGCCTCCACATAGAAGAGGAGAACACTGAAATAGTCTGTCTGTTATGCATGTAGTCAGTTAACTCTGAAATAGTTTTCACTACTTAGAGCTATGGAGGTGGATTTTTTGGTAGTGGATTTTACCTAGGAAGGTGGAAAAAAAAAAGCCTTGCTAAGTTTCAAACCATTGGTCCTTTGGATATCTAAGTCAACACTCTGAATGGGAGAAAAGCAGTGACCGTTCTGTGGCCTTTCCATAATGTAACGCTGGAATTTTAACCTAGAATAATGAATATTTTTATCCTCTCCTACTCCCCATATCTTTTATTTTTAAGGCAATATATTTTTAGTTTTGGGCTCTGAGGGGAACTAACTAGACAAATGATCCTGTTAGTTGGTTGTTACTAGGGGAAAAATGGGCAAGTTTTTCTGTTCTAAACCATGTATAAACTTAAAGATTTTGATGGGCGTTTCTTTTCACTTTTGTAAATTGTGATTTTCACAATAAATTACATCATGTTGGGGGTGTATGTCAGAGTTAAAATACTCAGCAGGAAGTTCAGAGATGAATGAGGATGTGGGAAGCTTGCCCGAATTGTTTTTCCCGTTAAACTCTTCTGGCTTTGCTAAAGCCTGTACAGCTCCGGGGTTTCAGGCAAACGTTTGTCTGTGTGCAGTGGACTTAACGTGGTTTACCGAAAACTGTCAGGATCCCCAAAGTGAGTCTTTTTGAGGCCCAGATCTTTGGTAAAAGGTGACTTCCCTTATAGAAGCTGCTCATTCTTGTTCATAATTCCTCAAAAGGGCTGGAGCTCCACTCTATTATATATTGAGATAGACATACAATTAAAACAGCAACCATTGAATTATAAGTAACTTTTTCCCAGAGATTTTCTGAGATTATGCTCCCTATATTCATTAAAATATATGTTGGTTATTAAAATATTTTGAAAGTTGTGTTTTATATTAGCCCACTATCCCCAAAACACTGATCATAATTAAGTTCACTATGAGATGGGAAATCAGCTCACAATGAATGTGTGTTGTCCTTAGGCTACACATGTCTTCAAGACATTTTTATTAAACATAACGTCTCATGAACCTCATCACTTTTTTTTGTCTAGGTTTCCTTTTTGTGGTTAGGCTAATAAAAACAAATGCTGAATTTGTGGTCTCCCTGTGGCACACATATAAATCATCACACGGGTATGCCTTTTATTTTGAAATGTCTTTTATTTTGAAATTCTCCAACTTACAAAAGAGCTTAAGGGATAGATAGTACAATGAATATTTTTATAACCTTTGCCCTAGAATCACCATATATTTAAAATTTTACTTTCCTTCCACGCCCTCACAAAGACTTTTTAAAAATTAATCAACCATTTTAGCCAACTAATTCAGCACATGGCATCTTCTGCTTCTGAGGGTCTTTATTTATAATCTTAGCACCCATTGATATTATCATGAATTCAGTAAGATCACACAAAACAGTGCACATCAAGATTTGTCCGGTTGTCCTAAAATAGTCCACCCACATTTAAACCTTGCATTTGGTCTATGCCTTCTTAATTTCCACTATTATAGAAAGATTTACTGAAATTTTTATTTGATAACACCGACTTTCCGCTAGACTGTCCATGAGATATCTTGAGAATGTTTTACTATCTTCATTTCTCTGATTTTTTTTCATGATCACATTCAAGTTAAGCACTTTTTGTAAGACCACGCAGTGTTGGACTTCTTACTGTATAATGACGATGTGAAAAGCGATAGACCTGAGTTTTCAGCATTGTTTGATCAGTGAAAGCGATACCTCTCAGATTTTCTACTGCAAAGGCACATTTTCCTCATCTGGGGGAGATATACTGAGGCCATATAATGTACTTCTGAGCATTGTGCCTGGCTTAATCTTCCCTGTACCATTGTTTATTTATTGAACCCCACTTATTATGTTCCATACCATCATGTTTTGGGTAAACTTATAAGGCATGTCCTTTCACCTCTGGAATAAAGTAGAAACAAGCTATGATATACATAATAAAGATAATAATAATAAGCTGTTTTCAAACTCCTTCCATATAAAGCTCTTGGGAGAATCATAACAGAGTAGCTGTTTTCATTTAAATCTCTGAACGTTTCCTAGTCAGTCTAATGAACATCTCTTCCCTTATTCTCACTTGGCGCTGAAGCATGCATGTCTAATAACAATGACTGGTTCTCTCTAGTGCTTGCCTCTCTCTGTCAGTGTGACTTTAGGAATATATCACTTGCACGATGACTAACACGGGAACAAAGAGAAAGATGACGACAACACAGATACATCTGAGCCAAAACAGACTAGAGGGCGATGCCTCAGGGTGTTTGAGCACACGGGTTCTCAGGGGTTTGAGGATCCGTTCTCGCTGAGTGAGGATGGCTGCCCGAGCCCCCGCCCATTTCCCTGGCCCCTGTAGACGGTACTGGTATGGGGTGCAGGGTCCCCAGAAAATCTCCTTGGCCAGCTTTATGTCCCAGAGGAAGAGAGAGAGCAGGCTGGGTTTGACACCTAACTCTGAAGCGATTTCATCCATGTAGTCGATGTACTGCACTCGATGTATGCCTCTGGGACTTTTCACAAACCTGGAACGAGAAGAAACATACTCGGACGCCTGTGTTAGATCTCACCCCTGAGTTTCCAGTGGACTTTGTTTCTGCTTTGTAGCATGTTTATTTTCTTCTGTTCACAAATCATCTATCTTCATTTTGTACACACGCTTTACTACAGGTTTAAAGGATAAGTCATATTTTACTGACATCTTTAAGCTTCCCAAAGGAACCAGTAAAGTGACATAAACATAGAAATTGTTAAATGAATGATTAGATTAATTCTTGGAGAGATATGTGTGTTTTTTCCAGACAGAGAGTCCAGTTCCATTATATAAAAGTGATAGGCAAGAATCATGAGTTGAGTAGAACACTGTGATAAACTGTACTATTTCATGGTTCCTAGCTACATAAAATATCTTGTTATATATCAATTTCTGGATACAAATTATGGTCTAGAATACTCTTAGGCAAGAGCAACTTGGTCCACAACCTTGGAAATTTAGAAGCCCTTGGCTAAATTTTTCTTGAGTAAAAGAGAAACAAAACCAATATTATAGACAACTTATGAACTACCAAAAGTTTTCAAAATGTTTAAAAGACACTAATGAGTATTTTAAAAATATCATAAAATGTGAATGAGCATCTAACTAAATGAAAAAGTTAGTTGGGAACACAAGCCAAGGCATAAGAGAACAGCAATAACCCATTAATTAAGGCAAAAATTGAATCCATGAAATCCAGAAAAGGAGAATTGGTGTATAATAAAGGTAGTTTCTTGAAAAAGAAAGCCAGATAGTAAAATAATCACGTTTCTTAAAGTTATGAAGTTGTGATAAGAATATTTTATCATGTCTCTGGTTTCCCTAGGGATGCTCTTGAGGAAAATGCCCAGAGTAGCTGATAAACCAATCAAAATAACTGCGTATCTAGCTACCAGCTACTGCATTAAAATGTTTGTTTGTCTCCTGGATTCTGAATTTAGCTATTTATTAAGTATTCTTCTTACAAGGAGTGATTGACTGCCTCCTGTGGGTTTTTTTTCTTTTGTGGTTTGTTTGGAGACTGCTGGCTGCGTAGACTAGAGCATTCTGGGGCGGTTCCCTTAGTGTAGGGACTCGTGCTCCATTTGCTGGGCGTTTTTACACACACACCCTTTGTGCCATTGAACAGAAGCAATCATATCAGATCACAGTGAGGCACAAAGCATGTGAACAGAAAAACAAGGAGTTCCCTCTGGACGGGTGTCATTGACTTTGACAACAACACCAACCAAACTCCCCCAACCAAGCTCCTTACTCCTTCTCCATTTTCTGTTTCCTTCTGTTGATGGCTGCCAGCATGTCACTCTGTGAGGGCAACTTTTTCAGTCCTGAGAAAACAAGACAGGCTTTGGAGGACTGTCAGGAAGGCTGGGTAAGAGAAGCAAAAAAAAAAAAAAAAAAAAAAGGCTGGCTCTGAAGTAGAATGGTTACAGCCATCAAATCTCCATGGAACACACAGTCATGTATAGAAAACTCCCCAGAAGGCCATTCTCTCTTCAAATCAGCTTTAGATTATCAGCAAGGGGAGTCAGTTTTGTCTCACAAGAAAAATAGGTTTTTGAGTTGTTTTTTTTTCAGTTTAAATCCATGCTTAAAACTCATGACTATTAAACATTCATGTTAATATGGCTTTTCGATCAATACATAATATTTGCATATATTTATGAAATACGATATGAGGCTTTAATTCATGTATATATGGGGTAATAACGAGCTTGGAATAATTAACATATCTGTTACCTGAAACCTTTTCATTCCTTTTAAAAAGTTTTTAATTAACTTACAAAGTAGTAGGTTTCCTTATGGCAGAACTGCAGAGATAAAATAAAGTTGGGCTCATAGTACCATAGTGATGGGGGGGGCAGGCATAACTGATGGTATGCAAGTAAAAGCCATAAGAGGAGGCAGAGAGATGGCTCAGCAGTTAAGAACACTTGCTTCTCTTCCAGAAGATACAGGTTCAGTTGCTAGCATCCACATTAGGCCACTTGCAGCCATTTATATAATTCCAGTTTCAGAGTTTCTAAAAACACTCCTCTGGGTTCTAGGAGCACCCGCATGCACCTAGTACACATACATAAACTCAGGCACAAACACGTACATATAATAAAAGAAAACAAAATTAAAATAAAAAAAAGCCACCAAGTCATTTGCCACTAAGAGAAAGTTTCCCCTGTGAAAGTTAGATTGCTCACAGGATGGACAACTAGGGTGTTCCTTAAATTAAAGGGACAGATATGAAAGATAGATTGTAACCCCGCCCCCAGCTCCCCTTTTCCAATAGATCAGGGCTATCAGCCACTCTAACAATAGAGTCCCCAAGTCAGCTGAGGGATCTCATTTTTCAATGTTAAGATTCAACCAGAACTAGAATTGTGGGGGAACCCAGGCCAGTGCTCTACCACTGAGCTACAACCTCTGGCCTTGGCAGAATAGGAAATAGACAGAAGAGAAAACTAGGTACCCTTAGCATCTGAGTGTGCGGTCAGGGGCACAGGTGCTCCTGTGGAGACTCTCATACCTGCAAACACACGTGCAACCCATCGGCTTTGGAGCTCTGAGGTGGGAATGGTGGCCCCCACTGGCTGGAGGATGCCAATGAAAGCTAGGGTTGGCTTCTCCAACTTGGGAGGGAAGATGAACTTAAACATTGTGTGTTTGCTGTCCAGGATCTCAGAGTTGTCATCCAAGAAAGGGAAAGAGAAGGTGTAGCCCGTGGCAAAGACGACCACATCTACAGCCTCCTCAGTGCCATCCTCAAAGATGGCGGACGTCGAGGTGAATTCTTTCACGTTTGCCTTCACCTGCACTTTCCCAGTAATGATGCGATTTGGCAGGTCGTCACTGAAGATAGACTGATGGCTGAGAAATCTGCATATTAAGGAGTATAATAATATGGAATGAGATTGAATATCCTCATAAAGAAGCTGAGGTTGTTAGCAACTAAAAAACCGCAGCAGTATTTCAATAATTTCAATATTGTTTGCTACCCTCTCTGGACACCTGATAGTGTTTACTGTTGAAGAACTAGGTTTTGGAGTCAGAATGGGCTTTATACTTATTCTACTTTTTCTCACTGTGACTTTCTGGGCAGGTCATGAAACAGTTTATTCTCAACTTCCAAATCTGTAAGACAGTAATAATGACATAACAATCAAACCAGACCTCACTAGTCACATCATGGTAACATGGGATTTTTACTAGAAGCAAAGTTCTTCAATATTGACTTAGGCATTTGTGTTTGGGATCATGTAAAAATCGACGTAAATTGGTGACCAGTCTCTTTTAAGGGTCCTAAGAGGTGTAACTGCATGACGTTAATATTAAATCTTCACTGGGAAATAGCTGCACTTAGTGACACACTGATGTCGTGAGTATAAAGTCGAGTTACAAATTTCTTGCACAAAGCCCCATTCCCAAGCATGCCTCATAGTTGACACATTTGTCTTCTCTCCTCTTTTACCAGGCTTACACACCCAATATCATAAAACTAGGCAGGTTCTTACTCTGTAGCTCAGGCTGGCCTGGAATGCATTGTGTAGTGTAGGCTGCATTCGTACTTAGTTTTGCCACAGCTTCTGGAGTGCTGAGATCATAGGCATGATCCACTATGCCTGGTTTACTTAGCCTTTTCAAACACAGAAATCGATGTCATGTGGGGAGGAAAGAGGACCAAGAGAGACCATATGATGACACCAAATTCTAAGTGTCAGTTTCTGGCAAAGCACCGAGAAATGAAATAGAAGGAGAATATCTATGGAATTGGAAGAATCAGTGAAGCATGAGAGGGATGAGAAAACTAGATAGATTGAGAAAACTGGATTGGGTGGAATGGGTGTGAGGAGGAAGAGGGAGAGTCAATCCACAGATGTCATCTGAAAGCACAATAGCTCTGGGAAGTAGGGTTTCATGTGGTGGTGAGTGTGGATGGTATAAGTGGCTGATGGGATGATGGAAGAACAGACCAGAACAGCCAGATTCAGATATGTCTGCACTGCATGAGTGTGGGGTGGTCAGAACTATGGATGATGAAACTGTCCTAGCTGACAGCAGGCTTGAAGGTTACAATGGAACCATCCATACAAATCCGGAAGATGAATAGAAAGCACTTGACAGGTGATAGTGGAAGAGGTAAGTGAGGTATAAAGTGGCACAGTGAGACAGGGTGAATAAGACTGGTGGTTGAATGTAAGACTGCTTCACCAACGTGTATCCCACATGCATTCTTTTATAGCTCAGCAGAATGGCCAGAACACCTAGTTGGCAGGAAACAACTTTGGTATTTCCAGTTAAGATAAATTCTATTAAGACTCAGAATGTCACCCTTTAGTTTTTATTTCACACA